ACTCTATTTTGATTGAGTATGCCTGTTACTTTTATTGAAATTTCTCTGTTTAAGGTAAATTTAAAAGCTATCTATCTCAAGCAACAATAAACCATATTATATCATTTAAAACAAGCAATCCAAGTAGAGCAGTGAGAACAAAGCGTCAGCATCTCAACAGACCAAGACAGGTCTCACAAGCTTCTTTAGAGGCTTTGGGGAGGTGCTGAGCTACCACATGGTGCACCAACGTCCTGGGTGGAGTTCACCCCACATATAAGGTTACCAGTTCATTACCCTAAAACTATAAAATACACCTGCAGCTCTTTAACTCTGGCACACTGATTCAGACACCTCCCAGAGTTTCATCATGCAATCCACCGAGTGCTTCCTGGAAGGTGCTGAAGACCTTTTGTGCCCACTGGCACAAAGGAGTGGATCCAGAAACGCTTCTGTTCGTTAGCACATTTATAGACGAGTATTTGGAAGGATACCAGAGGTCCATATCCAAGTGGGAGGGAGCCGGCAAGCAGTGCTTGCATTATTTCTCCCTGTAAATACATTCTGTTACACGAAGGTTACATCCACGCTGTAAATTCAGGAATGCCCAGGCACTGGAAAGTAATCATCCACATGAGAAAATTGTTAGAAAGTTCCCCAGCGTAAATTTGGGTGCCAATTTGCATTTTCCTAGATATTTCCCAGGCATGGTTCAATGCCCGGAACAGCCCAAGAACAACCCCCAGCAGGGAGTTTGCATCCAGCCACCCTCTTCTGGAAGGCAAAACCATTTACAAGTGTGGAAGAGGGCATTTTGTGCCAGTTGGCCACAGGGCCCAGGATACATTTAGTTCCTGGATGCACTTAGTTTATTAGCACAGATGATGCTGAATTGCCTCTACTTAGAGTCTTATTACCGGACATCAATACATGATGCCACCATACACTTACTGAATCAAACACTCTGGGACTACACTGCCAGCTGGATTAATTCTCCTTGCTGTTACAAAGAAATGATGATCATTCACGCAAGCGTATATAATTCCTATATACAACGAGGCATTTGAGCGGGGCACGTGCTCTTTGACCTTCTGTCAAAATAAAGAATAATTTGAAAAGCCAAATACTTTCCCTCAAAACTGCCTGCATCAGGACCAGGCGCTGCCCCCATGCTGGCTGAGGAAATGGCATAGGCTTGCAAGTTCTGGATTACTATGATCCCACCATAGCGTGATATTTGCAAGACTGAGTGGGACAAGTCATGCTCCAACAGCAGTCACTTAAACCCAGTTAATATCTACTGCTTATCACAGCCTTCACATACATTTTCCTAGTGTCTTGGTAGAAATTCAACCTGAAAATCCTCTGAAATCTACATGTTTATTAAAGAAACCAGAGGGATTTTTCCAGATCTAATCTGGGAAAAATATAAGAGGGCATCTGAGAAATACAACCCAAGGGATGTAAAATGTTTCTGAAGAAGACCCCGGTGCTGTAACCAAACTGAACTGAGCATCCAATGCCCTGCCCTTCATCTGTAGAGTTTAAGCTGTGTTTCTACATGGCATAACGGTGACACCTACAGGAAAAAACTCATGTGCTACCTCTGCAGCCCAGAGAGGAGCGGATGACATCATATCGTTTATATTATCTCCTTATTCAAGGTCGTAGGGACCATGCAAGCAAATAAAATACATTATCACTCACACAAGAAAGTGCTGGCTGCAGGGCAAGGTCATTAGCTGGATGATAAGAAAACAGGATCTGGGACCCATCAACTCCCTCCACATCTGCTGTAGCCACTGCTACCAAGCAAAGCACGAATTACAGCAGAGGTAGGCAAACTAAAAAAAGGTAAAATTTCCGTAATAACACTTCTTTCTGGATGCATCTTTCGAGCTTTGCTCTGTGTATTCCTGTGTGTGGCTCCAGGACACGGCTATTTGTGCACCCAGAGTGCCTTGTACTGAGTTACACTGAGACTTGTCACTAAACACAGACAGGTTTGTGAAAACACCCCACCGCTTCCCGCTCCTTCAGCAATGAACTCCCTGCAGGGCAGAGCACACGCTGGTATCTCACACTTGGCCTGTGCCCGTTTACTGTTTTCTCAGCAGCGTTACAGGACTTGATACAGAACTATAGAAGAACATTCAAAAGTTAGAGCACATAATATTTCTTAGGAAGTTTAGTATGTTTTCCAGTCAGAATGGATTTTAAGAAAGTGAAATATCCTACAGGTAAAATAACTAAAAGCTTTGTTCTTAACTCTCATTAGAGTCACCATTTTTAAAATTTGCAGGCAAAGACATGGAAGAAAAACCGAGACATTTTTCATTCAGGTTTTATTTTTACAAGCAATCCTGACCATTACACATGATATAAAATAACCATTGTCTGAAGCATACCCTGAAGATGATCACCAGGAAAGCTTCAGTTCACAATTTATCTGATTGTGTATAGGTGCAATTTCCCTTGTGTCTCAAAAGTTACCAGAAGACATGTCCTTTCCAACCACCCAGTGAGTATTAGACTAACCTGGTAAGACAGAAACAGACCACAGACAACACAGTTTGAGCAGAACATGAACAAAGGGGCATTGTCACCAATTTCCAAAATGAGATTCGAAAGATTATTATTAAAATAAAACTTTGTAATAAAACATCCAGTAGTTCAGTCCCTTTTTGAGAACTTCCCACTGTGTTGCTGGTTCTACGTTGTGAAGACTTAACAAATTCCTTAGTAGAAGCTGTTTTTTCTGTGGCAGACAGATCTGAATTTGTCTTGAGCATATGTCTGTATGTGCAAAGGCAGCTGTGCGGTCCACAGTAATGACTAATTAGCTAAAACAGTTATTTTGATCATGTCTAGATGTCCAATAGTCTCCAATTTCCATTTTCAATTTATTAAAACATTTCCCCCAACAACAAACAGTACTTTAAAAGGCCACATGAAAGGCATCTCCGAAGCAAGAAAGGGCTAGATCAGTCAGAACTTTACAACCACAAAGCAAGTCAAAACAAGTAAAAACTAAAATACTTTCCTCCTCACTCACAGAAGGACTGGGGCAGAGCCTGACAAATGGTTTCAGATCTAACGGTGGGCGACCATCCAAAGGGGGGAAGTTTGTTCTCCACCCCCAGCTGCAAGTTCCTGCAGCATCCTTTTTGTGCTGATATATGTTCTGATCTGGCTAAAAACCAAACCCAGGGGAAAAAAAAAAAAAAAAGAAAAAAAAATTAGTTCCTTGCTCTGGCCCATTACATGGTCACAGAGCATTGCCAGCAGCAAAAGGGAAGCGACAGGAGACAGATCCTCCATTTGGCTGGACACCAGCATTAGATCAGCTTAAGGCAATTATCAATCTACAGCCAAAGCCCACCCAACTTGCACTGGCTCTGCATAGATCAATGCAAACCTGATTTTCACACAAATCAGCTTTCTCTGGGCGGCTTGGTGTCCTACATTTTTACCAAATTAAGCCAGCTTTCCCACATTTTTACCAAGGTAAGCCAGCTAAGCAAGACGGCTAGTTTTCGGCCAGTTCAGGGTCAGCCTCTCCGATTTTGTCAGGGGCAAACTTGCTTTGGTTGAGACCGCGTCAGGACAGCATTTCTTCAGCTGCGCGATGTGCTGCTGAGCCAGGCAGCTTCACCTTGCTGCCACGCCTACATACCACTGACTTAAAAGCAGTACTTATAGACTTTTCATAAGGTGTAACTTAAGCTTCATCGGGCCCGGTGCACGTACTGAAGTGCTGGGCCACGGCTGAAGATACAGCCACGCGTGGGCCAACCCGCTGCACGCACAGACGCTTCACCCCTCGGTGCTGCTGAGGGAAACGCCTCCAACACCCGTCCCCGACGGCCAGGCCCACCGCCGCCGCGCTCACGGGCGGTTTTGCCTCACAGCTTTTAATTCCTCCTTTCAAATTCCCTTCCAGACGAACCGAGGCCCGGCCCGGACCCCGCCGCCTCCCTCACTGACCGCCCCGGGGCCGGCGCTCCCTCCCCACCTCGCGTCGCTGCCAGGACCCCGATCCCCACGCGGGCTGCCCTCCACCGCGCCTGCCCGGCTCCACCACGGCCCGCCTCAGCGCCGGCCCGCTTCAGGCAGTACTCGGGCAGCCCGCGAGCGGAGTGGGGGCCTTGCGGCGGGGGGGGGGGGGGGGG